TGAGGTTGGGAGGAGAGTGCGGTGGGGTGGGAAAGATAGCAGGGGTGGTGGTCAGGATGGGGTGTTGAGAAGGGTAAGGGTAGGGGTGAGGTTGGGAGGAGAGTGCGGTGGGGTGGGAAAGAAGGAGGGAATTAGCAATAGGTCACAGATCCGTGGTTCGATGTCAGCGAAACTGGAATCGGGTCATTGGAAGCACCGTGAATAGTTGTGACTAGCATCGTTCTAAAATAACTTCCACACAACATTTACGCATGGCGTCGTAACTATTCGCGATGCGTCTGACGACGGCCCTCTGGTGGTGGCTGGAGGCCATAAACGAGTGTTTCCGAGATGGAAGCAACCCGGAGTGTCTCGCCACTAGGAGGCGCCTGTCGCACGCCCTCGCCGCGATCAGCGCCCCCTAGCGTCGCGCATCAACGTCCGTCGCGTCTTTCCCCAGATCAACCTCAACATGCCGATGAGCGAACAGCTGAAGACGCTCACCAAGTATCCGATTCGGACGCGGCTGAGCCTGAGCGGCACCCTGGTGGTCGCACGCGACATCGCTCACGCTAAGCTGCTGGAGAGACAGCAGTCCGGCGAGGGACTGCCGCAGTACATCAAGGATCATCCCGTCTACTACGCCGGCCCGGCGAAGCGGCCAGAGGTGAGGCATTGAAGCACAGAAGCCGGGGGGGGGAGGGTAACGGGGAGACAAAGTTAGGCTTGATGTTCGTAGCGAATGTGTCCTAGCGAAGCGATTGTTGCTCATGAATTCATTCGGAGCAACACAGCGGTGCGTGCTTGTCTTTAGCTATAAAATCGACTGCCCGTCGTACGAAAATACATCGTTGAAAACATGACGAGAACAGTTCTCTAGCATATCTAATCGAAAAACACCGAGATGGGGGCAGGGTTTTTCATTATAGCATGGCGGGTCCTAGTTGCAAATTGCAGAAGGCGGTTTGCGTGCTAGGGGGGTCCGGGGCTATGATATTTAGCATGGCGGGTATGATATTTAGAGCGGCGGGTGCATTTTAGGATGGCGGGGCTCGACAATAGCTTGGCGGGCCGCCAGGCTATAAGTGCTCTTGGAGAACCCTGGGGGGGATGTACAGCAATGTCACGGCCTTATGTCCCATCGGGGGACTAAGAGGATAAGTAAGTAAGTAAGTACAGCAACGTGAGAGCAATTGATGAGGGTTACTCAGACACCGCACGTCCGTGCGGCGTATCACGTCAGCGCTCCCAGCGTGCGGGCGATGGAGAGACGTCGTCGGTCGCCCTGTTTCACGTGCCGATCGCTTGTTTTTTCCGCTCGTCGCAGGGCTACGCGTCGGGGTCATTCGGCCCCACGACAGCGGGTCGCATGGATTCCTACGTCGACTCGTTCCAGGCCGATGGGGGAAGCATGGTGATGCTGGCCAAGGGTAACCGCAGCAAACAGGTATGCTAAGCATGAACACGTGAAGGTCGTGTAAAGGCGCGGTCGTGACGTGAAGGATGTGTGAAGGTCGTTTAAAGGCGCAGTCATCACGTGAAGGTCGTGTGAAGGCGCGGTCGTGACGTGAAGGATGTGTGAAGGTGGTGTGAAGGTCGCGTGGTCGTCACGTGAAGGGCGTATGAAGGTCGTGTAAAGGCGCGGTCGTCACATGAAGGATGTGTGAAGGTCACGTTGTCGTCATGTGAAGGTCGCTGCAATTCTCATTATCGTTATCGTTATCTTATCAATGTTTCGTGCGTGGTCTCAGTAAAATACACGTTGCTGCGAATCCATCCTTGCACTTTCCTTCCCTCTCTCTCTCTCCCTTCCTTTCTCCCTCCCTCTCCTTCACTCTTCTTCTCCCTCTCACGTGCACCACCATACTGATAGCATCTCCTCCTCCTCTTCCTTGCAGGTAACAAACGCATGCAAGAAGCACGGAGGTTTCTACCTCGGTTCGATCGGCGGCCCAGCGGCCATCTTGGCTCAAAACTGTATCAAGAAGGTGGAGGTATTGGAGTATGAGGAACTAGGCATGGAGGCTGTGTGGCGCGTCGAGGTCGAGAACTTCCCAGCCTTCGTCGTTGTCGATGACAAGGGAAACGACTTCTTCGCCGAGTGGTCCGTGTGAAGGGGAGGGCGCGGCGTCCTCCTTCCCCTCCCTCCTTCCTCCCGCGCGTTCGCTTGCGTTCGAGTTGAGAGGAATCGTTGCCGGGGATAATTCGAGGGCCTGTTGGGATTCATGCCGGGGACTGCTGGGAGTTTATTCCGGGCTGGGATTTATTCCCGGTTGCAGGGATTATGTATTCCGGGCTGCTGGAAGTTATACCGAGTTGTTAATGTGTGGGATTTATTCCGGGCTGCCTGAATTAATTCCAGGCTGTTTGGATTCATCCTGATCTGCAGGGATGTATTCCTGGCTGCTGGAAGTTATCCTGCGTTGTTAATCCTGTGTGGTGTGGTGTGTGTGTGTGGTACTATAGGGGATAGTGTTGCTTATGCTGGGCTTGGACGAATAACTCGCTGCAATGTCAACCTTGCTTGCGCTTAGTCATGCACCCGTGATTAGCTAGTCCCATTAAAATTAACAGCCCCAGTCAGCTTGGTTGGTGCTCACCTCGCTCAGAAGCAAGTAATGGATAGTTGTCTGTATGTAGTGATGTGATGATATCAGGAGCTAATAATGACAAATTTGTCATTATTAGCTCCTGATGATATGTAATATTAGCCTACACGGCATTTGGCTGCCGGTGTGTTTTTAATGTTTGTAGTCGACCAGATCTTGAATTAGTGAGCCGCGGAAATCTTTCGACAGAAGCGAACGAGATACGAAATTATATGTTTATGTACATAAAATTGTTTGTAATTTATTTATCACAAAACCTCTTCACATTTTGCAAATGATAATGTAAGCGTAAGTTTGAGGGTGATCGCTGTGCATTGGAATACTAGGAATTATCCGTCTATATGTGGACATTTTTAATCACTAGATCATTACCTGAAAGGTATCTAATAACGGTTGACGTATAGCATAATATCAAGTTTGTTTACATGTAGCCTCCAATGTACTAATTTTTTGTGCAGAGCAGGCACAATAGAAACAACAACGTGGCAGTCAACATCAAAACTTGCACTTGTGTTTTGTGTAAACTAAACTGCTTATTCGCGTACCGACGTTTGGTATTATCATGAACATGTGCATAGAATGTTACACACATTACTTATAATATAATATACATCGTCACAATATAAATCAAATCAAATGCAATACTTAATTAGCATCTGTACAGATTTGCTGCTCTTTCTTACATAAATTGCGCAATATGACAAATAGCGGCCATTTCACAAAAATAACCTGTTTAACAGAGATCAATAAATGTTACATTTTAAAGTGAATAGGTCTAACAAGAGAACACAATCTGGAGGTTTTGACTTATGATGTGATTAACACAATGTGACTATTCAATACCACACTGAAATTAGAGAAATCAGGATACTCATGCCATAATTAACTAGAAAGGGCAGTTGTCGTCAACTACATGTATCCCCCGTGTTCTCCCCAAGATGTGTAAGTATACCAAGTTTGGTCGCGCTAGGTCAATTAGGGGCCGAGTTAGAGAGCGGAAGGGAAATATGATCAAGGTCAAGGTCAGGGTCAAATAAAGGTCGCAGTGACCTGGTTTTGGTACGCTGCTCACCTTCTCCCCAAGATGTGTAAGTATACCAAGTTTGGTAGTGCTAGGTCAATTAAGGGCCGAGTTACAGAGTGGAAGGGAAATATGATCAAGATCAAGGTAAAGGTCAAATAAAGGTCGTAGTGACCTGGTTTTGGTACGCTGCTCACCTTCTCCCCAAGATGTGTAAGTATACCAAGTTTGGTAGTGCTAGGTCAATTAGGGGTCAAGTTATAGAGCGGAAGGGAAATTCTCTGCGGCGGACCGAGTGGCGGCGGCGGCGGCAGCTGGGGAGACATGAAACCATAGTATCCCCGGCGACTTCGTCGCGGGGGATACAATAATAGGAATTGATCTAATACTGCAAAATGTGCATCTTGCTTGATAATGCCATCAATGACCAACAATAGCTTTGACAAATGTCACCACGGGATGTGCAATATCTTTCACAATCTATATACACGTACACTATCGTTGCAATGCGCAAGCAAGACTCGATTGTAATCTTAATCGGTCTTAAGATGTGTGCCTGTGCGTTCCTGACATTCTTAATCATTTACTGCAGCTCATTAAGTTAGTAATTTCAGGTTTGTTGACTTGGCATTCAAAGCCATTGTCAACCGATTGGCGCTGTATCATCAAGTGCTGCCATCTGCTGGGAGGGCATCAGTCTCCCTTTCTAGTTTCTTCTTCTTTTTCTCTCTAATTTGGTTCATCGTCTCTTCTATCGATCGCTTATCGGTTTTGTTTTCACTTGGAACTGAAAAAGAAACGAGTGAATACGATCGCAAAAGCGAGAACATAACTGCAATTTTCATGGCTAGCATAACCTTTATTTTGTTCGCAACGTTAATGTTTGCTGTTGTCGTAAATACGAATGGTCTTACCAAATCCGTACTGCTTGTTTGCAGTGGTAATAATTGCTGCATCCTTCGCTGCCGTCTTGCCTATCAACTTCTCGTATTTGTCCTTGTAGTTGCTGTGAGGTACGAATTCTGTAGACTTCATATTTGCAGTTTCTTGTTCCGCCAACTTCTCACGCTCCTGGATGTGAAATGGCAACGCGTGTTATTTACAGCGAATATATTACCTCAGGGCCACAGAAGGAGCGTTCACGTCACGGCCCCTGTCAGGTTTACCACCTGCGAATCCTTCTACCACACTACACTACACTACACTACTACTACTACTTTACCAGAGCCCTGTAGACCTGGAGACCCTAAGGCTTTCAACCACTGTGCCAGGTCCTGTGTGCTGCAGGGGCTAGGTCGAATGTAGTGTAATAACCCGAGAAGAAGACCCGAGTGCGAAATGAAATTCTCCTGGCAGTCTGTAAGATGATGTCTAAAGTAACAAGAATTACCCGTTGCTCTTGCAGTTGCTTGGCCTTCTCTTCGTTCCACTCCTCTCCGCGTCTGTACGCTAGCAATTCATCATCGCTCGGTGCATATTCCTGCGAGCGACACAAGACAACGTGTGAGCGAACTTAAATTAAACGCTTCAACGATGCAATGTATTCTGTGAGCGATATTTCAGATCGTCTACAGCGACTCGTGTGAGCGATTTTGAAGGGAATTGATCTTACTTTCTTCCAGGCCATGACGTATCTGTCGACTTCATCTTGACCGAATGAGAATGAAGCGAGTCCAGCCACTTCTGCGCATTCATGCCTGTAAAAGCCATAATGTATGCAATTTCAAATAGCCTGCTGAAAATTCGCACATCAATATTTTACCGCCCTAAACGTCAATGAGGATAGCTGCGAAGGTGGGAAAACACATCGATGTAAATGTTTACATCTATTTACTGCTTACACGATGGTTCTGGCGACTTTGTCCGGCATAGGCTCAAACTGTAAGCGTCGTTCGTCGCTGTCTTTTATAAACGTTTCAATTCTCTTCTGTGTCTTAAAGTACAAACACATACGACACACCATTATGCATTTGTAGAAGAATATATACATGTTAACATTTTCAGAGCTGAATTAAAAGATATTTGTGTGTACTACATTAACACAAGATAACGTACCCTCTCTCGAAACCTTTGTAGTTTGGCTTTCTCTTCTACCTGTTGTTTTTCAATCTTTTGCTTTTGCTCTGGAAATGATAGGAAAATTGACATAATGAAGTAGTTAATTAATAAAACTGGGAATACCACACGTGGACGGTGCAGATACGTGCGCCATTTAAATCATGTGTCAATGTGTATTCTATTTACTACTGTTTCAATCAAGTAAGCCTAAAATCAATAAAAGTATAGTATCGCTTGCTTGGTGGGGGTAGGATTAGGAGACCTGCATGGCTTCACGCGTGCTATCCAGTATGAACTTGTATCATAACAATTAACACTTCAATGTCACACACCTACAGTGATGTTCCAAACGCTGAAAGAAAGGCTAAGGCACGAGGTCTGTCAGTGCCATGTATTGTCTCAATGATAATCAAAGTCCTGTGACATAGCAAATGAATTATTGAATGTAGGCCTAATGTAATGAGTAATGTATGGAGAACGACTGAGGAGTCAGATTATCACTGCATACGATGATTTTTTGGGGACGAGGATTTATAATTGAGTGGATAAGTGTACATAAAAACAACATAACATTTATTATTAAGATTATGGTATACCTCGAGCTAACTTTCTTTGTTTATCATCTACTACTGGGGGTTTCTCCATAGAGCTCAAAATCGAGCCTAGTAAGTCAGCCATCGCTGCACCGTGTTGTCACCTGCCGGTCACCTTTGGCAGGAGGCAGCGCAAACATGGTGGTGTTTAGTTTGTTGCGGCCAAATGGCCCAGCAGGAAAATATGCCATTTCAATGTTTAATAGAAGTAGATCGGTCTTAGCAACAATTCCGAAGCAAGGCGCAGGTAACAAGAGTTTTAATCTCTGTTAGTTTAACTATGAAGTAGTCGTTCTTTCGCAGTGTTAAATAAGTACTTTGAACTTGAACTTTGAAAGTGATTCTATTTGGTTGAAAATACACATTTGCATGTGGTCCCTACACTTTGAAGCTACACACAAGTAATTGCTGCTTACTACCCACAGCCCTCTTATTATTCGATATCGCCTATCTATATCATTTTCCACAGACCTACATTTCTGATCTAGGTTAATAAATGTCCACGTAAAGTACAGAGAACGTTCACACTCATGTGGAATGTATTGTATACATGTATGTTGCCACGGCACAGGCACAGGCACTTCCAAGGCCAGGGACAGAGTCAGTAAAAACTGAAAATAATATGAACGCACATTTACAAATACTACCGTACCTCTCAATTACAGTTCCACTGTTGTGTCACTGTATATCAACTTTCCTTCATAAAAACTAACGCCGAACGCTCCCGCACTCGCTGCTGCGAGTGACGGAGTGTGCTGTGTCGCCATTATTGTGATAATAATATATAAATAAAATATAATGTCCCAAGTGCCTGTGTATGTTGCATGCTGTTTCAAAACTAGAATTCTAATTTGATGTCATTGATACATAGCACCCATAAGGAGTATGAGCGGCAAGCCAGTTTTCAACGTCAAAGCTTCAACGTGGACTTGGCAACAGTTTAAAAATGACCTGGTAAGCAACATTACTCATTACTACATTAGTTCATATATGTACTAATAAGTTATTTATTATGTTTGACTATTTCAGATCATTTATATACATAACTATTTTGGATCAAGGATAGTTTGGGACCCCTGCAATATTTTCAATGTTTTTTATATGTCTAAAGATTCTTGCTGCAGTACTCTGCTTCACTAATATATAAGAGCCTGTCTTCTAATAATACTATCACTTCCACATTAGGATGTGCAATGTACTGAATATTGCCACCTATAGTAGAAGAATGATGTGATTATGTATGCTATAGATTTAAGAGGATTTCGATTAAATGAGTTTCGTTTCTTTCCAGCATTTTTTTGTTGGGTTAGGCGTTATACCACTCGGACTTCTAATTCTCTACGCTAACATCTTTGTAGGTAAGTAAGATTACCATCCTCATGGGCAAGTTATACTAAAATCAGTTAACCTTGTACATATTATACTATTTACAGCAGCTGTGCTTGTGAGCTGATTCAAAATATATAGATACATGGTGTGTGATTATATACCATACAGTTAAGTTGTGCATGTCTGTAAAGTATAATTAATGAATTCGAATGAAGTATAACATGAGAATAGTGTCATTTTTTAAGGTATATGCTAATAAAATCGAGTGAGTTGTTAGTATATCAGAGTTGTTAGTGTATAACTTGATCGCGGTTTGTTTTGTAGGTCCAGCCCAGCTGACCGAAATCCCAGAAGATTATGAACCCTACCACTGGGAGTATTTCAAGGCAAGTTATTATTATTATTATTAAATCTTTATAGCATGTAATTCAAATTTATACATGAAGACAGTATGTACTGAAGACAGTCTTTTTCATGGAGAACAAATCTGATAGATGTAATAGTGTTGAGTAGTTAAAATACTAACATTTCTGAGTAATAAAGTACCAAACAGCGCTATACAACGTAAACGAAAAATGTAATACAGAAACGACAGTACTTTCTGTACAAGTAAAGTAAAGTACAAGTAAAATTCCATGGTCGAATGAACGCTTGGATTGCGTACGCACCATGAAATGAACATACAGTAGTGTAGCCCTCGCTAGGTGCGCTTCGTGCACGACCTATTGTCCACTAAGAGCTATCCAGTTAGTATAGTATAGAGATTAAAGTGATCGCGTGCGTGTGTTGCAGAGTCCGATAACTCGCTGGTTCGCACACCACATCTACGAGAGTCCCGAGGAGAAGTACGAGCGACTCGTGTCCTACGTCTGCCGGGAACAGGAGAAGATCAAGCTCAGGTGAGATGCCAACGCATGCGCTCTCACGCTCACGCCAGGGTAAAAAATACACGGGAGCGATAAGCGATTTGCTCTTCAAACCTCCGAAATCGCTCCCGTGAGGCTCAAAATAGCTCCCATAAAATTTTTGAAGAGAGCTATTTTTTCCACAGACTTGAAAAAGAGCTCCCGTGAAAAAAAGAATACGCCCTGGCGGTCTCGTCTCCAAAATTCCAGCTGGTCCTCGATTTTCGAAGATCCATTATTGTAACCTATAGTAGAAGTCATCAAAATGAGCCGGTCCTGCTCGAAAGTTAGCGGTCGTAGACTTAGGCACGACAAGCAGCTGTTTCCAACACTGCCGCGGACCGTTTAACTCCCGCGGACCGTTTAACTATCGCATTGACCTTAGGGCTTAGACGGTTGACCAGACTTCATTTTGTAAATGTCGCAGACTGCTAGGTTGACTTAATTGCCACATGCGTGACTTAGTAGCTACCTGTGTAACTTAGTAGGCATTTTTGTGACTTAGTAAGCATCTTTTTGACTGAACCATCTGTGACTCAGTAGGTATCGCTGTGACTGAACCATCTGTGACTTAGTAGGTATCGCTGTGACTGAACCATCTTTGACTTAGTAGGTATCGCTGTGACTGAACCATCTGTTACTTAGTAGGTATCGCTGTGACTGAACCACCTGTGACTTAGTAGGTATCGCTGTGACTGAACCACCTGTGACTTAGTAGGTATCGCTGTGACTGAACCACCTGTGACTTAGTAGTTAGCCGTGT